TTCAACTTCTATTCAATTTTCATACTGCCGTACTCTAAAGGAACTATCCACCTACCCTCTTCTAAAAAAAAGATCATTCTCTTGCTAATAAATTATCACACTAAAACTTCATGTTAGCATTTCCAACCCATTCTATGTAAAACTATTTTTTTCTATCTCATCATTTAAAAACTGGGACTCTCAGCTTAGCCAAAAGGTCGATGTTTTGGGGTTTTTTGAGTTCAACTCTATGCCATGATGACTTACAAAAAATGTTTTAGCAGGTGATTTTTTAATGAAAATAAGAAAAACTGTGATTTTTTTAATTTTTGATATCTTTTTCCAATATTTTTAGAAAAATCGAAACGTAATTATTTTTTTCGGAGCGGTAAACTTTCCCTTAAGGGGAAGCAGACCGCTCCGAAAAAAAAATTACGTTTTGATTTTTCTAAAAATATTGAAAAAAGTATCAAAAATCTAAAAAAATCATATTTTTTCTAATTTTTTAAAGAAAATTCACGTGCAAAACCATGTTTTATAAGTCATTATGGCATAAAGTTGGACTCAAAAAACCACAAAACATCAACTTTTCGGTTTTTCTGAGAGTCCAATTTTTTTTCATGATGGGATAGAAAAAAAAAATTTTACATGTAATTTTTGACAAAAATCTAAGGAAGAAACTGATTTTCTTGGATTTTTGATAATTTTTCCCAATATTTTTAGAAAAATAAAAACGTACCGAAAATATTTTTTTATTTTTGGGCCGGTGAGCTTCCCCTTAAGGTAAAGTTTACAGGACCGAAAAGAATCGGCACGTTTTTATTTTTATAAAATAATTGGGAAAAAATCAGTTTTTTCTTTAGATTCTTGAGAAAATTAACATGTAAAAATATGTTTTCTATCTCATCATGAAAAAATTGGACCCTCAGCAAAACCAAAAGGTTGATGTTTTGTAGTTTTTTGAGTCTTGCTTTGTGCCACGATGAATTATTAAAAATGTTTTTACACGTTGAAAAATTAGAAAAAAATGTGATTTGTTTTATATCTTTTTCCAATATTTCTAGAAAAATCAAAACGTATTTATTTTTTTAGCCTTAAGCTGTCTATTTTAGGAAGGATTAGCTGAATAATTAATAGGACTTAACGTTAGCTTTCTATATTACGACTCGCATCTCTGTCGAATTGGGTTCTCAGACACCTTTTTTTTTAATTATTTGTCCCTTCTACACTCTTGGACAGTGTCTGTTTTTATCATTTACCATCACACGGAAGGAGTAGCGCTTCAATTCAACAAATGAGTTTATTTTACATCAACGAATACGCGTTTGTTACCCCATTGCTTGATTATACAACCCAAAGTTGTGAATATCAGAATCGATCCTCAAAAGCAGAATAATCAAATTCATTTTGGGCAACATGATTATTTGAAATATTGTCGACCCCAGAGCCTAAAACCTCGATATTATCATCAATTCAGCATGAGGCAATAATTTGTCATCGATCTGTGAAACCAACACAATATGTTCTTCAGCGCTATATTTGTACAAAATGAAAATAATCATTTTTTTTATTGAATAGTAGGCTTTGCTCGAGAGTGGTTGATTTTCGATTTGGCTGTCACGTTTTTGCTTCCGTTAGAATTTTTCCTTAGGGCCGTTGAATTTAAGTAAAAGTTTCCAATAATGTCGCGTGTTACCACCATATTCTGTGATCGGTAGTTGGTAAATTCATATACGCAAAAGTGTTTCAAAATAATCGGAATAGGAGGATCTATTCAATGCGATTCGTCTTCATAAGGGCTGTACTGCAATGGCTGCTTCTGAGCCCCGGGCAGCGTGTATTTTTACAAGTGGCTTTGAAACCAAGGTGGAGCCTCAAACGAACTCGTGACTTTCCGATATTATGATGGAGGTGTGGCGGATCGCTGAACCTATCAAAGGAGAACATTACTCGGGGAATTTCAGACAGATGAACCAGAATGGTAAATGTTGGTTCCTGTCAAGAAGTGGTTCATCTACGATTGGGATTGGCACAGCGGCTTGTTGCAGACTTGGTGAGATCGTTCTTTTTTATCGTTTTTTGTCAGTTTGTACTTTGTTTCCGTGAATCCATGTTTAAGGTTGATCATGTGCCCACGGTTTGAGAAAGAGTAGACTGGGCGTGTGATCGAACGTGACGTTTGTTTTTTTTTTATCTATAATCGGTTGCTAATCTGGTCAAAACCAGGCCCAGGAGACGATTTCTAGATTGTCAGCGAGTTCATTAAGACAGAAGAAGTCCTGCGAGAGCTGCATCTCATTGTATTTAGTTCTAGTGCGTCCCACGATTAGTTCCATCATTCGTCTCAGCGTTGAGTCGCAGCGCTGAACCAGACAATTGGCCACAAAAAGGCTTGCCAAATCACATACACTTAGATAAATTAATATAAATTTAGGTGCTCTGAGAGCGATATATACAAGCCTCAATTTTGACATAAATTTGAGTCATAACAGACGCGAAATATAGCTCAATCAAACACTTTCGTCGAGCAACGCAGTTTTCAGTGTCGGGGTACGTAATATTACATGACATGCTTGTTAACGTCTCATTTTTTATGTCAAAGATGGATTCCGTCACGTGTAAAATTAGTTATTTCTAAGTGTGCAACAAAAATCGACTACATACATCCGAACATTTTTTAGCTCAAATCAAGGAAAAACATTTCGCTCAAATATATAAACCGGACTAGTTTATGTTGATCAACACATCAACACATGTCAAGCTACCTTTTGGTTCAATTGGCTAAACTTGGTGAGTTCGTTCCACTTTGTAAATTTTTATCTTTTCAAACCAGTAACGTTGGGGGATCACCGTTTTGTGGTGCGTTACTGGTATAAGATCTACCACCGAACCCTAGTTGTTACAACTTCAAACTACGGAATCAGAATTTCCAAGTAATAAAAGGATCACATTTTAGTCCTTGTTACTTTTTATGACTTGATAATAGTGACAAGACTCGGGTAGTGGCCACCGCCGTTATGCATTTCTATATTGTATATTTCAAATCTAAAATATTGATTATGTTCATAGAGTTTGCATAATCCTTTTCGCTTTGTCCTTCTCGTATTCCTTTCCCTCTTCTCTTTTCAGAAAGCGAGCAATGGCGCTATAGCCATAAGGCATAAAAGGCTAGGACAAGAGTTAGTGCTTATGTCCCAACCGTCAGAAGAAAATGGAGCATCACTTAACCTTTCTAGCTTTGATACTTCCAACGATCAACCAATCATATAATTACCAAAATCGGAACGTACGCTACGAGATGTCCACGGCCCGATATTTTCTGAATCATCTTGCCCCTTAAATGCTGCACAGTAGGCCTGGCCGTTTTGATATGTGTGACACATCATCGATGTGAAACATGTATCAAATAGACAAGAAAAATGATGGAGGTATATCCATCATTTTCCAGGATGCTTTCAAGAACTGGCTGTGTTGGTGTTAGATTAGATTAGATTAGAAAATGAAAATAATCATTTTGCATTCAATCCTCAAAATCACCCCCACCAGATCCCCGAATATTAATATTGACAACAACAAAGGCGATAATTCTTCGATACAATCGATGGAAATATTTACAATATTTGACAAATCTCAGGTAATCATGACAGTAGTTGGTCTCTTTTCTTCATTCATATTGTTTTCAATAATCAAACGTGATGATTACCTGGGTTTTGTCAAAAAAGGTAAATATTTACGTTGTTTGTACCAAAGAATGAACATCCAGCCACACTCAAAATAATCGACACATTATTGTTACGTGAAAAATCACGTGGAGTCTCTCTTTTCACTTGTATGTCAAATTTACGTGACACAAGTAGAGTCTACGTGATACCACATACGTATCAACAGGAAGTCCCTTTAAAGTCACTGGGTTTTTTAATGAAACGCACGTGATTTGCATATACACAAATTATATGTGCATTTCACGTAAACCCTAAGTGATTTTCACATATGAAAAAATAAATGAGTGCCTCACTCAGAATGGTACACAATATGGTGGAATTGCAATGTGCATGTTTACACGCCAGTTAAAATCGTGGGGCTTATTTTCATGAGACTATTTCGTATTGTTAGTATAATGGCTGAACATTTTATCATAGGCAAATTTTATGGCGAGAATAATTTGTAATATGTTTCTTTATTTTAGTCTGACGACAAGGAGTACCATGGATTGAACTGCTAGTTAAATGGCCCTTTATCATATGTGTTCCATATCCTCCCCGAGTCCAGTTTCGCTCGAATTAATTTCTACTTCTGTATGTAGGTATATTTGCCACAATAAAGATACAATGGTCAAGGAATACTGTAGGATCTTTTTTCATTTGAAATCAAGAATACATTTGATTTAAACCGGAGTAAAAATCATTGAAAACCACCATGAATTCCATTGAAAAAATCACATAACATCTACGTGATAACCCCGTGACCATCTCGCTCACTGAAATGAGTGCTTTCATATGATAATCACGTAACACTTACGTGAAAAGTGCGATGGAAAAAATCTATGTGTGTTTTCACGTAGCATGGACGTGAAAATTATTATGAGTGCACGTATGAAAAAAAAGCAAAAAAAAATTACATCGATACGCAGAGGTTGCCTTGATCAAGAAAAAATGCTGTTATGTCAAAATTCAAATTCATGCAGGTAGTTGGTCTATCTGTTAAGGTTGTCTTTATTTTCAGTTAAGTTGAGTATAGAAAAAATGATTTTTATCAGCACTGCTCTTGGATCATTCGTGACTTGTCCGGGATGAAATTTGAACTCGTGATTTTGGCATGAGAGGTATACTGCCGATACTCGCATAATTGTCCCATCTTTGCTTGATTTCCTATTCATATGGGACAGTTATGCTTTTATGGTCAGTATAGGTATGGATAATAACTACTAGGCTGGGGCCTTCCCCCTCAGAAATAAATGTATCCGCCAATTGTTTAAGTTTGGCTCCATTTCTCTTGTCGGTCTAGAAATAGGCTACACTTACCTGAGGCTCTTGACTGCTAGGTTTCGTTTTGGATTTGATGCAATATTCTTCTAGAGTGGTAGGTACAACAATACCTTCTTTTTCCGCTTCAACTTTGGCGGCTTGTGCTTGTTTCCTAAAATTATAAGATGTGCATTAGCTACCAATTTTGTAGACCAACTTCTAAAAACTCACCTAATGATGTTTGGATACTCATTGTCTTTGCCCTGCGAGTCCCGCCATCTTCGGTACATGACGGAAGCGTCTACATTCGCTGGAGAGTAGGTGTTTGGCTCGTTAAGCAATGAGATCACGGAGAGCAGGATAGTTCTAACATTTTGAGTAGGATTCCACCTTTCACAAGGCAGTTCACCACTTTGCGGATCGTCAACCGGTGGATGAAGAATCGATATGCAGAGGTCACCATTCTAAAGATTTGAGAGAGCTATGAAAATCCCGAAAACTAGCAAGCAGCTTATGTTACAGTAATTCTTACCTCATACACATTCGGATGCCATACTTTTGTCAGAAAACGTATTGATGGTGGAGAATATGGATAGTCGGGAGGAAATTTCATATGAGCCTGAAAGTAGATAAATAACACAAATATTATTATTGTCATTATTATTTGGAATAAGTTTTCTATTTTTGTAGAGGAGGATGTAAAACCAGACCTACGTGATAGTTTATTTTTATACACGTAAATTTACATTACCCCGAATGCCGTTATCCTGAATTTCACTACCCCGAAAGTTATTCTATCAAAAGGTAGATTGCTGCTCGTTCTTTTAAAATTCACGCTAATGGAAGTCTACGTATTGGAATCAGGGAGACATTTGGGGTAATGAAGAACTATTAACAATATCTGACCGGCTTGAACCTAAGCCAACAGAGTCTTCGGAGAAGTTTTGCAGATTTTGGTATCAGATCATTTTGTTTTGCTAATTTGACTATGATGTTATATTATACATCTAAAAGATAAATCATCAAATCAAACTTTTGCAGCAATAAGAGATGAGATCATCATATTAAACGCTTAGTTTTTTTTTCTACCTAGATCGGCTGTGCAAATCTCGGCAAAAAAAGTTTTACAGTGATCTCAGCAAACATTTCATTTGTTTGCTGAGATTCAGCTAAGCAGTATCCGAGACTCAGCAATCAAATGTCACTTTTGCTGAGATCTTAGTGAAACTTTTTTTGCCGAGATTTGCACAGCCGAGCTTGGTAGAAAAAACTAATAGTGTAAATCTGCGCAAAAATATGTATAGTATTGTGCGAAAAACTTAAAATCGTAGTGACATTTCTCGCTCGCATCGCTGGTCTCGTTATGCCGATAATGTCACTAATGACGTCAGAAGTCGCTAATTTGACTAGCGCAGTGTCTTTGTTCTAACCTCAATCTACCTGTGCACCAGCTCTCAAAACGTTCACCAATCTCAAAATATTACTTGCAGTGGATACATATCAGTGAAACTAAAAGATTATGTGCATTTTGCAATCGATTTGAGTGTAATTATTGCTAGATATCACGTTTATAAAGTTGATGCACAGGTAAAAAGTGAAGTTACACGACGGTTCTATCAATAAGAATAACAAAATAGTGCACAGTCACTTTTCAAATCCACGAGACATCACAAATTAATGATGCCAGCTGGTAGAAGAAACATTCGAGAGGTGCCGTTACTTTGCATATGTGAGATTTTATTCGCGAGAAATCGACAGCTAGTGCCATTGTTTACAATTTTGCCGTTTTGAAATGACATACATAATGATAGGATATATTTGAAATGATTTCGGTACCAATGGCATTTAAGTTCCTAAATGTGTTAGAAACGCTAAAATATTTAGTGCTGTTTGTGGAAAGACGGATTTCGTTAAGATGTTTGTCAAAATCAAAGCTTCGTGTTTAAGATATAAATCAATTGATTAATTTTCAAAACGTTAAATGCATTCAAAATAAGCAAATTGTGTGATAATTGCATGAAAAAGGTTTATTTTTAGTTCTGTTTTAGGCAAAAAGTTCGAAAATAGTACATTTACCCTACCTAAGCTTTTTCGTCTAATATATTAGGTAATGCTCCCATTTCACCTTTTATTAACCGGTTTTGATATGATTTGATGATTGGGTTTGTCTGATTTTTTTGGCCATCAGATGTCACTACTGTTGTTTATGACGACATCTGTCGGAAATTACGAAATCCCTTTCACAGAACACAAAAATTTTCAACCGATTTTGAAAATTGGTGCACAGGTAAAAAGTGAGGTTACGGCACGCCTCTGCCTGTCACATGTCTGGCATCTCTATAACGTAAGGTCGCCATTCACCATTCAATCTTCCTTCACTGCTCACTGCATGCGTATTATTATTATTTTTATACAATTACAACAGATACCAATAGCTCTTTCTATCCTTTATTTAACGTCGACCTCTGTTCCGCAATCTAGTGCCAATCACCGACGGATATCGATTGCCATCCATTGACGGCAATCGAATGTGCAGGGAGGCAGCTTCCACACCTGCGTAGGATATCGCACCAATTCAACTCACATGGGCCGGGACCAACGGAGGAAAGGAAGACCAAAGATTTTTATTTCTCAGAAAAATCCCACCGACCTCGGCTGGGATTGAGCCCAGACTCATTGGGGGTGAGAAAGCAGTCACTACACCACCAGCGCCGGCGAAAAATACCAATAGTATAATTACAATTAATACCAGTAGTACCATTGATCATCATTTGCTATAATGTGCAAGTTAAGAGAAAAATTATAAAAATAAATATACAGCAAGCGGTGAAGGGACAATACGTGAGCGGTAGATAGCGACTTTACGGTATATGCATTTAGATTAACATCCGAAGTCCTTGAAATTCAAACCATTTTCACTTGTAACGTGCATTTCGATTATCCCAACAAGATTTATACATTGGAAATTGTATTGGCAAGTTGCCGGTGGGTCACGATCCATAGATTGAGAGCTGTTTTAGAACCAACTAAGAAGGTATTCATACACTATGTAAACCGATTTTGAGAAGTTGAGAAAGACCCCTCTCCCCACGCGTAATCTATTGTCCATACATTTTTTTTTTTGGGAAAATTGGATGGACCGTAGGTAATCGTTAAACCCTCCCTTCCTTTAGTGACAACCTGGTTTATGAACAGCCCCTAAGCATACCTCTCCAATAGTGCAATTTATTTTTGAAAAATCCAGCATCACAAGGGATCAATGGTTGTTGGTAAAAGGTATTTTCAACATCAATGGATGGTAGTCGTAAAGAAAAGAGACAGACAGAGAGAGAGAGAGAGAGAGAGAGAGAAAGAGTCTACCGTTAGCAAAATAATTTATGCCCAAACATTTCAATTGGAGCCATCGTTATTAAACGTATCTTTCTCAAACACCGCTTGTATTAAGAGGACGACCCATTCAGGGATGCCAATCGAAAGGATAGGAAAGATAAAAAAAAAAGTTACTGAACAACAAAAGCCACCTGGTGCCACCGACACATCAAAGACACAAATAAGTAGCAAGTTCGATAAGCACGGACGCGAGCACGCAACTGAAATAAGTTTCACGGAGAGACAAGGTGAGAGGAAGTACGAATGGCTGCAGCAACATCGGCAAGGTTATCTATGCCATAATTCGCCTTCAAAAGCTGACTAACAAGCTCACAGAGAGACTAATAGTCAAACATATACCGATACAGACGACTCAGCCAAGTGTGAATGAAAGCAAGATCGGATGTTAGGTATATCCCATTCAATTGGCAAAACCGAACAGAAGCCAGGAATTGACGATGGCTTTAAACACTACTCAATTATACAAATCGGAAGTCGGAAGAGCCAAATGAAATAATGCAATATCTATTCTTCTGGGATTATTTTTAGGACTCATGCACCTCGTGATGTTGTTGCTCTCTGTTTCACCAATCGTCTATCGACGTTTTTACTATCTCGTGCTACACGCTGTTATGCGGAAGTTGTAATTTCAAGGAAATATAATACGAATAGTGCCTTTTTTGTATTAGATCAATTGTAAAATAAGTGACATACCTTAAAATAACCGCCCTGGTAGAGCGTATCCGGCGGCCCAAAAATGGCAACCTCCCACTCGAAGAGATTGTCTTCATTCAGCAATTTGACTCGGAAACCTTCCACCGGTTCCTCCTGGAGGCTTTTATACTCCAATGACAGAGCACGGACTGCGGAACTGGACGGCTGCGAAGACATATTTTCTCTGTCGAGTCTTCCTCCTGCTCCTCCTCCGTTCACTCAATCACTGCTGTCAACGAGCAAAAACTGCACCGATGATTCACTGCACAGTATCTGTAACGACAAGGAAACAATGCACGCGATCAGCAGGGACAAAAGAATCTTTTAACTCTTGATTTTACTAGGATGCGTACAATTTTGGCCCGATTTCCCTGAATGAAAACAAAGAGAGAAAATCCTTGTCTCAAATATGTCTTGCTATACTCAAGGAATGGAAAAACAACCTATACAAGAAAACGCCAAAGCGCACTGCGATTACGACTCGAGTCAAGTGCGACACTGTGCGAGCGCGAGGTGGAACAGCGGTGCTTGGATATCGGTGTTTATGAGGAAAATTGTGATCTACTGGAAATTGGAAAAACAAAACTGTTATAACTACGGAACCAAATGTACCTTCCCGATATAATTTGGTAGAGCTCTAATATGACATTCGATCACCGACGAAATTCCATGACAAACATATACATATATGGGAAGATGGGAACAGATGAGCACTAGGGTGGGTTAAGTGGATGGTGGTATGGTGGATCACAACCCCCTGCTTTTCCGGTGTGAATCGAGGTCCCCATCAACGATCTGGATTTGCGGGAGAATTTTAAATTTTGTATGGAAAATGTAGTCTTTAACAAAGTTGTTTTGTATAGTATTATCAATCCATGTCCAAGATTTGGTGAAATTTGAGCAATATTTGGATTTTTGTTTAGCAAATCAATAGGTTCGTTTCGTTTCCCATGCAAAATTTAAAATTCTCCCGCAAATCGTGATTATAACCAAATTTGTTTAAATTGTTCGCAGTTGTTAAGGAACCTCTATACTGCCGCTATTTGCATGTCCCATAGCGAAAATCACTAAGCCGAGAAAATCGCGTTTTAAGTTTGCTTCGTACCATTGCTTCTTATGTGATGGGACAACTAATTTGACTGTATTTCCAAACTTTTTCATAACAAAGTTGTTGAGCTCATCCAGTATTCTGAAAATATGTGTGATTATCTACCATTTGCATTGAAAAACTCAGTTTTGACAAAAACAACTATGGGACCGACATGCGAAGAGCGGCAGTATACGCATGTGGGAAACAGGGAAGTTGACCCACCCTAATAATTAGATATTGTAACAAACAAAACTTAAAAGGGTTTATTGTTTATTTTAAATTATTATTACAAATAGATGAGTTTTTTCGGTAGGCAAATTTTCATCAGTTTCTTGATAATAGTTTTTTTTTTTCTTGATTCGTTTTCCGTCATTTTTGTTTTCCAATGCTGGGTGATTCCTGATATTCAGACTCCAAAGTGCACACCTACCTATCGACCCATCAAACTCATGAGACCGGGATCCAACGAATCAGAGATTTTATGCCTCAGGAAATCGCCGACTGGGATTGAACTTAGGCCCTTTGGAGTGAGAGGCGGTCACGCTTACCAGTACACCATCGGCGCCGCTAAAGTTTCTTGATAGTTAATGAATATTTCTAAACCATTTTTGGAACGTTGTAATCCATATTGGACGTAAATCATAGAACGTAAACAAACATTTCATGTCAAATTAAGTGTTCTCAAACCGAAACATCAGCTAGTCGACGAAGAGAACGTTTGATTGAATTGATTTTCGCGTTTCTTTCAACTGATTCTTAAGGCCCAAACGCAATGTGGGCGGAAACGGAACGAAAGCGGCAAGTTTGACAGTTGTCACAAATGACATCACGTTGTCTAACCGAAGTCGATTTGGTTCTAACTAGTTTTCAATCCGCCAAATAGGCTTCCTCTGATCGGGCTATTCCGTTACCGCTGCCGTTCCGCTTCCGCTGTCATTGCGCTTGGGCCTTTATGTCAAAAGGCCCGCTTACATGTGTCGGTCTCAGGGACTGACTTTTTAGTAGTGTATGTTCATCTTGCTCCGGTTGGCAACCTTGCCCCGTCTAGGTACCTAACGTTAGTCTTTGTATTCCTTACGTTAACTAACGTTAGTCTTTGTATTCCTTACGATATATAAATAATTTACTTTAAAAGTTCTTGCAAAATATTAGTGTACCTAATTACCGTGACATGCTATATAGGGTGTCCCAGAATGTCTAAGCACGACTTTGACCTGCTTGTTTCAAATGACGTTTAAACAGCTGATTATCACGCTGAATCATTGTTTATATTTCGACCAACAGTTTCGTGTATCGCAAGTGTCGGTTCTTTACATTTCCGTGACAATGTGAAGCATTTCTCCGGAAAAGCGCAAACAGATCGTGCACAAATGGTGTCCCGAGCAACGTTGGATATCAAAATAATATCAAAATGATAACAAATTATGTTTTTGAAATCATATTGATCGCATATTTTTATATACATTTTTTTAATTTTAGTTGAATTCATATTTTGATATTATTTAGATATTTCTAAAAAAATTAGTTAAAAACAAAATTTGATATTTTATGAAAAGAGCCTCCACATTTATCACTGAAATATATTTATTTTTCTTAAGAGTCAATCAGCATGCTTGCTGTTTTCTTTATAAACATCACAAAGACAATTATGATTTTTACAGTTATAGTTTACAACATTTATTGATATTAATCTACCTGGGAATTTAATTTACAAATCGATATAAGCAGCATTGCGACCTATTACAATCACGATCGTCAAACAGCTGATGGTAGTAACGCTTTGTACATTCATATCAATGTGCTCGTCGAAGCTCTCTCCATGACCATCCATCAAGTTGATGAAGGAAGTAAAAAGCAACTGGTGAATGTGATACATCACCGATCTGGTCATTCCCGACAATCACGACACTCATCTGTGCTCGTTTTGAAGCAGTTACTGCTTTGCTTGCTTATGTGAGTGTGTTGGTGAGTGAGCCCAACAGCTTCCGTTTAATGTTGCCTGCTATTTTTTGTAACTCACACAATCGCGCCTGCCGAGACGAACTTGGAATGCATAGGCATTGTTTTCATTTTCTTCTGTAGTTTCGCTTTTTCTCATGATCGTACTGCAGGAGTCTTCACTGTTTTCGTTGTGCTTTTCATCATCAGCAGCGAGTGTAACGTTTTGCTTATGAGCAGCGACCATTACTGGTGATTGTTGTTTGCCATGGCTCTAACTCTCACTGCGTGACAAAACGATCTGTCAGCGATAGTCGGTTGATGCGAAGACGAGTGTCACGTGAGTGTCATGATATTTTGCATCACTGGATATAAGATAGATACCGACAGAACTGATTGAAAAATAAGTTTGTTTTTATTTTGAATGAATGAAAACTCATTGATAATATTTTTCGATTTTGAATCTTGACATTCAGATTACTAAATTTGATATCATGATATCAAAACAATAACTAATTTAGTTTATGTTTATTTTTTGTTTTCCTTCCATAGTTATAATAACATATTGATTACTTATTTTGTTTATTATTAACGAAATTACTGATATCAAAACGCACATACATAGATTTGTTATCAAGAACATGATTTGTTATCTTTTTAATATACTTCATATGCCATTTAGATCTCATTGTTGTTATGATTACTGTTAACTCGACCAAACGGTAGGCAAAATATGTTATCACGAACGCTTATATCAAAATATCAAACTTAGTTTTCATTTTGTTTTCATTCTCTGCTCGGGGTACTATCCCCAACATTTCTCTGAGTTAATTAGCGAAATTGGAAGATGTAAGCATCGTAGCCGTTCGAAACGCGATTCGGAAGTATGGTGATGAAGCAACTTTCTAGGACAAGCAAGAATCTGGACCCTGTTGACCGAAATCTGGACCGGAAAATCGTGCAAGCTATCACTCGCAAGAAAAGTGCTTCGGTTCGAGACCTGGCTAAAAAACTGGGATCCTAGAAGAGTAACTTCCAGCGGGCCAAGGCAAGAATGGGTCTAAGGACGTATAAAAAGCAGAAGAAGCCAAAGCGGAGTGAAAAACAAGCCGCATCCGTCAAACCGAGGGCTCGGAAGTTTTTTTTTTTTTTTTTCCTTTATTTAACGTCGGTCTTTATTCCGCAATCTAGTGCCAATCACCGACGGACATCGATTGCCATCCATTGACGGCAACCGAATGTGCAGGAAGGCAGCTTCCACACCTGCGTAGGATATCGCACCCATTCAGAACACACATGGGCCGGGACCAACGGCTTTACTTCCCTTCCGAAGGAAGACGTGACCAGAGATTTTTATGCCTCAGAAAAATCCCACCGACCTCGGCTGGGATTGAACCCAGACCCATTGGGGTGTTAGAAAGCAGTCACGCTTACCACTACACCACCGGCGCCGGCGAGCGCTCGGAAGTTATACGACCAATTACGGTGCGGAAAATCGGTATGCGTGATTATGGACGATGAATCACACGTTAAATTTGATTACAAAATTCTTCCTGGTGATCAGTACTACACCGTTCGTGATGGCCGAAGTGTTGACGACGTGGATAAGTCGATTTTTACCGAAAAGTTCGGTAAAAAGGCTACGGTTTGGCAAGCCATTTGTGAGTGTAGTATGCTTACGTACGTCAGTGTTTAAACAAGCGTCTGTTACCCATGATCCGCAAACACGACGCCTCTGTACTGTTTTGGCCGGTGTTGGCGTCGGTTCATTACTCCAAGGACACGGTAGCCAGGTATAAATCCAACCAAATCCAATTCGTACTAAAGGAGATGAATCCACCAAACTATCCCCAGGCCAAGCCAATCGAAAATTTTTCATTTTCATTTTGCAGCGTTTGGTGGGGCAATGGGAGCGCAAGTCAATCCAAAGCCGAGGATAAAGGAAGGGTAATGGCTGAATAGTCTATGCGGACCACTTGAACGCCATTAGAAAAGGAAGGGATTGAAGAGGTCGGTTATTGGGTGGTTTTGAGGAAATGACACATAGTACTAGATTTGTGTTGCAAAATGTAAAGAAACCGAAAATCCATCTCCCACTGATTCATCCTTTCACATATATACCAAATTGTTATTTTAAAGCAACCATCAAAATAAACAGACAATATATGAAAAGGCTAGTTGCCTCCCTAAGCGGACCCCCGCATCCTAACTCTTTTGTTAATCTACTTAATGTTATTAGGTTGTC